TCTTCCCTGTTAAGGCCCCTAGGTTCACTGGGGCAAAACAGCTACAAGAAAATGCAACAGAATAAACAACAGAGAGGTGACATCAAAACCTTAAGAAATTGCTGAAAAAGGGCCGGCCAGATAGCTCCGCAGACTGAAGTTCCTGCTTAGGCCGGCGCAGGACCAGGGGTTCAATCCCCGGCTTGCCGTGCTGGCCCCACCCCCGGGGCCTGCTGAGACTGCAGTTGAGACTGGGCATGGTGGCGCGTCCCAGTGCTTGGAAGGCTGAAAATAGGAGGCATATGTCCAGTACTTTCCTTCCTTCCTTCCTTTTCTTCTTCTTCTTTTCTTCTCCTTTTTCTTCTTCTCCTCCTCCTTCTCTCTCTGTCTTTCTGTCTCTCTCTGTGTCTCAAGTCCAATCTACATAGTAAGACCCTGCACTAAGTGCATTTAAAAAAAAAAAAAAAAGGTGCCGGGGATATAGTTCAGCGGAATAAGTGCTTCCCTGGCAAGTGCAAGGGCCTGAGTTCAATCCCTGGTTCCAAAAAAAAAAAGACTATGATGCTCAAAGGCCCCTGTTAAGGCCTCAGTTGAGCAGCTATTTCTAAATTCCTGATCCTCAAGGGCTGGGGAGATGGCTCAGCGGCATAAATGCCTGCCTGGCAAGTATAAGGTCCTGAGTTGAATCCCCAGGACTGAAATAAATAAATAAATAAATAAGATAAATTCTCAGTCCTTGAATTTTTTTTTTTTTTTGGCAGAACCGGGGATTGAACTCAGACCCTTGCGCCTGCTAGGGAAGAACCTATTCCACTGAGCCATCTCCCCGGCCTCTGTCCTTGAATTTTTGGCTTAAATTTTTTTGGAAGGGGCCCAGGGGACAGATTGGTGTTGACATCACTTATGTAGCCCACGCTGGCCCCAAACTCACAGTAAGCTTTCTGCCTCAGCCTCAGAGTGCTGGGATTATAGACGCGTGCCACCATGCCTGGCAGGTTATGATATTTATGTTTTTTCAGTCTGTTTAAGACAGGGTCTCTTGGGCTGGTGAGATGGCTCAGTGGTCTAAAGCACCTACTTAGAACAAGCTTGGCAAAGCACAAGGACCGCGGTTCAATCCCCCAGCACCACATGCCAGCCAGCCCCGCCCCCTGGTGGGCTGAGCTGGCCACACACACACAC